ACTTCCTAACATAAGTCCCTCAAATTCAGGTTTTACAGAAACTTTTGCACCCCACTCTTCAGACCCAAGAGCCTAAGAGCAGGGTCCTCAGAATTAGAACACACAATTGGAGCCCTTGGACTCCAGAACTCTCAGACCCAAGCTCTTTGAATTAACTGGGAACCCTAAAAACTAGGTACTGGTCCAGGGACTCCCAGCCTCTACACTTGGCCCCAGCTCTTAGTTCAGTCCACAGGCCTTCAACCATGAGAACCCTCAAACAAGATCCCTCAGACTTAGGGTCCTCAGTCCCACTGCACCAGCTCCAAGAACCTCAAACCCAGAGCCAGAGAACTTTGTGCCCAACTTTTTGGCCCCAAATTTGTCCCACAGTCTGTCTGAACCCAACGCACAATACTGGCACCCCTTACAACCCCTACCCTCCCCACACACAAACATGAAATCCCACCCACACTGCTCTCTCTGAGGGATCATCCCAGATGATGCAGAGTTAGACTTGGAATTAGATGACCAGGATCTCCAAGGCTCTGCCATTTACCTGCTGTGTGATCTTGAAGAAATTACTCAACCTCTCTAATGTTTCTCACATTGATGTTTCTCTTTCCCTTCCTCTCTCTAAAAATATCAATAAAAACATATTTTTAAAAATCAGATTAACAAAAAATATTTAATGATGTTGGAAAATGCTCTTCATATAATAGTAAGTGAAAAAAGTAACACAGTTGACTTATCAACAACATGGGTTTGAACTGTGTGGGTCAACTTATCTGTGGGTCTTTTTTCATAAATATACAGTCAACTCTCAGTATCTCCAGTTTTGCATCCACAGATTGAACCAATCGTGGATCAAAAATACTGTTTTGGGGGAAATTTAATGTTAAGAGACTTGGTCATCTGAAGATTTGAGTATTTATGGTGTGTGTGTGTGTGGGGGGGGTGATCCTAGAACCAAAACTCCTTGGAGATACCAAGGGTTGACTGTGGTTAGGTTTTGGGGGAGTCAAAAGCATGGGAGTCAGTGCCCTAACCCGTGCATTGTTCAAGGGTCAACTGATATATGCACTTGTGTGACCCTAAGTTTTAAAATTATATTTATAGGAAAAACACGAAAAAAAGAATACACCAAAATATTACCTAGGGTCTCTAGAAAGTGTTAGCACAAGGCTTTCCATTTTTATGCTGTTTTGTGTTTTTCAAAATGTCTCTAATGGAGATATTTTACCTGTATGATTAGGGGAAAAATATGAGTTGCAAGAGTCATGAAACAACCTTGTCTAGTCTTTACAAGGAAAAGGAAACTGAAAGTGAGAAATCAGATACTAGATGGAGTGAAGCCAGAAACTCTCAATCTAGCCTTTACCTTCCTCTGGAAATTCTTGCCTGAACTAAGACCCTCAGAATAAATACTCCACTGAACCTTATAATTTAATTTTCATTTTCTCAAATCAGTGCCTTGTCAGTGATCCCCTGAGGACCTTGGACTTAACTGGATCCCCAGATTTACTGGAGACCAGACCCTAAACCCTAGATAGCCTCAACATCTGTTTGGCTTTTGAAGTGGCTCACACAGCATGGGGGAAAACCCTCCCCAGATAGTGCTGAGCTTAATCAAATCAGCTTTGCTTCGTCTGTCTGGGCAAAGCTAACAAGGTATGCAGTGCCTTAGTTTTTGCCACATCCACTACTACTCAGGGCTAGCAAGAAAAAGAATTTATATTCTCATATGTTGTCAAATGTTAGATGACCCCCAGGCTATCGAACAACTTGATGTTTGGCCAAATTGGCTGAAGATGAGTTTTAGTGAGGATGCTTCTAGACCTGGCAACTGCTCCACAAATCAAATCACAGAAGCTTGTAGAAAACTCAGTGCTTCCTAAGCAATATCGCCTCCCAAACCAAAATGATTTTCTTTAAATATTCATGATCTGGACAGAAAAACACAATTCAACTCAAATTTGATCATTCTTAGTTCTCTTTTGTGTTGATATTGTCCATCACATTGTAGAGGAATGTTCCCAAGGTTTATAAGGTCACATGAACAGTGTTCTAGCTAAGAGCCACCTAGAAATTGACTATGGGATCACCTATCAATCCAGTTCTATTTATGTAGTGTCAACATGAATTTTGTGTTTTTTGGGGGGGGAGGGGGGAGTTGTGACTTGAACTTAAATTTCTTCTGGTTGATTTTGTTCCAACCTGAAATTTCACTGACGATGTTGAGAATTCTTGTTTCTGCTGTGTCTGTAATCCAAATGAAGACAAGCCAAGAACAAAGGAAGTAAAACATCTGGGGCCTAGGAGACTTTCAAGTGTAGCCCAAGAGTAATTTCACAGTGTTCCCATTCTGTTCAGATAGAGTCAGTTAATAAATTATGCCAACACATGAGGCATTCAGAGTGGCACAGCTGCTCAGAGTGACAGTCAGCCCTTGGTAGAGTATGTTTTAATATAAAAATTTAATAGATGTAATTTAACAGCAATTTCCTTTGGGAGTAAATTGGTCTCTGAATCATACTCTAAGAACATTTTTTTAAAAGGTTAATAATTTTGCACAAAATGAAAACCTGTGGCTACCTGAGAGGTACTGGTGTTCATTTAGGAATTTCTTGTTTTTCTAGACAAATATACAAGTTCACAAGATGAATGCTGGCTGTGGTGAGGCTTTCTCCCTGTTGTTACTCAAGATGTGCTGCTCAGAAAAAGACACAAGTGGCATTTTACCAATATGGAAATGTTTCTAATAGAATATAAAAATCTGTTAAGCAATTTTCCAGTACATTAGGCTGAAATTGCTTAAGATGAGTCTATCTTCCTGTGACAAATCAAACATTGCATAAATTAGTCTTATAATGCCCCTATGTGGAAAGTACTAGTACAATTTGGCCTGCTATTTTGGTCAGTCATTTGTACTCATTTCCATGTGTGACCTCATCCAGTCAAGGCCACCTCTCAGGTATCTGGGAGAGGATTTCCTAATTTGAGGGTTACCATGCAGCTCATTCTTCCCAGCAGCTCATACGTACAGGGTTCAAGATGAAAAAGCCAACCCACTAGTTTTCCTTATTGCCAGCTTTAACAAAGATGGTTTGAGAATCTTGGCTTGGAGTAAAAATAAGTCATCATTTACAGAGAAGAATCCCTAACTTCTTGCCTACTTGCCTATTCAACTTTTTTACTGATTTACAGAGATCAAAGACCATGACACCTAGGGCTGATTAAAAATAACGGAAATGAGCTTGAGAAAATACTTTTGAGTTACACAGTATAAATCAGGTAACAACCAGTTTTGACACCACTACCTCCTCCCCGCCCCCATTACCTGGCCTGCACATAATTTTTCATCTTTAGAATAACCCTTTCAGTAATTCTGCTCTGGAGACAAATAATCACTGAATGTCAACTTAGAAAGAGGGTAGGAATAGGTATGTGTAGAAGCCGTAAAGTAACAGTATATGGGGAAAAGCTACAAATGTAGCAGAGAGTAAGATCTAGAACATTATGAATACGAATTCTATAGAATGTTTCCAAATATCTTTAAAAGATACTATAGTTTCTGACAGTGCTCCAGTAATGGGAACACTGTAAGACACACAAGGTAATGAAAAAAAGAAATGCTTTGGGGCCAGGCAGGCCTATTGGAATGCCAGCTCTACTGCACACGACCTGTACAACCTTGGGCCAATCACACAGCATGAGTCTGTTTCCTTGCCTCTAAAACGGGACAACATGAGCTTAACTTCACAAAGGTGTCCAAAAGATTAGTTAATGAAGAAAATTGATTCATCAGGTATTGAAAAAAATGGTAGCTTTAGTATTGATGATTATCATCACACTCCATTTATAGCTTCAAGACTGGTGCTAAGTCACAAAGAATGAGTTCTATAGGAGAATTAGAATATGGCTTCAAGTTCCTATTTTGTGCAAGTGCCCTATATTTTCAACATTATATCAAATTTTCAACATGTGTGTTTTACCTATCAGCAAGCCTTCTTCCGGTGGATCTGAACCTGTGAATGCTGCCCATTCTGAAATGCATGAGAAAAGCATCCTTGTTTCTCACGTTGATTTTGGTTATTTTCACCCCGGTCACAAATTAGATTATGGTACAATATTGAACAGGTTTAAAATACTCACTTTATGCACATCACTGCCCTCTAGTGACTAGAATAAATTCTTTCAAGTAAACCATTTAACTGATCCCCTTAATGTAAAAAGAATAAAATAAAAATCTAGTTACTAATCTACTAGCAGGAGAAAAAAACTTTTCCCAGAAAACGTGAGTTGATCCAACCAATTACACTTGATCTTACCTTCCTGATCAAAGCATCTAGCTGAGGTCAGAGTACCACCTAAAGCCACAGAGCACAGGTGGACCACGTGTGTGTTCCATTAGAGATTCTCGTCTTAGAAGGGTTAGCTATGGTGGGGGTGTCCAGTGAATACTAATATATTAGGCACATTTTCTCTTCAATGCTCCTAACTCTTAAGAAGTTGGCCTCCACAGTTTTTCTTAACTTTTATTTCTTATAACTTTTTTTTACAATAAGAATATATTATTTATATAAAGGGGGAACCCACAATATTTTTAAGGAAAGGATAAAATAATCTGGATTGCTAAAATAGAAACTTTGCACTCAAGATCTATTCCAGGTTTAGAATACCAAGAGATTGGTTGACATCCTGAAAGAATGGCCTGTTTACCTGTGGGCCAGTTAGTCCTCTAACCTCATTCACAGGGGAGAAAAAACAATAGTAATAGCTACTGTTTACAAGCCAGGCCTTGTGCTTTGCTATTTGTATCTATAATCTCCAACAAGCCTGTGTTGTAGCTGTTATCATCCCATTTTATAGATTAGACCAGGAGTTTACATAAGTGAGTCTAACACTTTCTCTGATAACAGGAAAACCATCTGATAGGTAAGTACCATTTTAAGGTTAAGAAAGGTACCATCTTGGCATAAATAGTAACAAAGTACAAAAAACTCTGACCGAGAAACTGCTGAAGAACAGTATCTAAGAATATTTACTGGTAAAAGATAGGTGTTCAAAGATGAGCTAAATTCTATTGTTACCTTCGATAATTGAATGCTAGCTAGCTATAAATTCAATGAGAAATTTATTCTATACAGATACAGGTAGGTTTGTGTTATCCAAATGCAAACCTAACTCTGAAATCCCAAAAGTAGGACCTTAAGTTAAATGATAACTTTCCTAATATATTTTTTTCAATTTTACAAACTTAGAGGATAAATAGTCACTTCTGTGTGAAGTATAAGGCCAAATTGGAAAGTGGACATGTGAACACCTCACTACCTGCTCCCATCCCCAACTATGGGCTACTGGGTCTGCTGGCCATTCCTTGTTGAGCAAAAATCCATTTTCCTCAGAGGCTCTTCAAAAACAGTCACATTGATGCCTAAACTTGCTTCTTGAAGCCCCTAGTTCAGGGCTTGGGAGCTTCTGGGACCATAACTTGAACCCAGCCTTCCATAACAGTCTTTTCACTCTCTCTTACCAAGCATGACACAGCAATGACAGCAATGCCCCGCTTCAGCCTTTTCACTTCTGCAGAAGCTACAACCACTTCTCCAACATATAAAGGGGCTGGAAATTTAATTTCCTGGGAAAGAAATACACAGCCTGGCCCTGGCATTTTAGTACCTAGGACAGCTGAAATAAGTCCATTGATCAGAACTCCATGTATAATTGTCTTTCCAAACTTGGTGTCTTTTGCAAAATCTTCATTTAAATGCAAAGGATTGACATCCCCCGTTAATTCTGAGAAGGCAACCACATCCTTCTGTGTGAAGGCCCTGCTGAGTTCAGCCCGGTCTCCAACTCGGATGTGCACATGCTGAAAGCGCTGCCTGCTTGGCACTGGCTGGTTCAGGCAGATTCTCCTCTGAAGCCCACCCCACCAAAGACGATGGCTGGAAACTACTGCGAACATCTTCAACATCCTCAATTGCATCAATAGGAGCTCTTGGCCTGCTTCAGTCTTCAAACGTTTGCTGGCAACAAAAAGTACTTTTGAGAGCAAAGATATGTTTCTGAAACTGAAGACTATTCAGTCCAATACTAGTTCCCTACTATTACCAGATAATGCAAGGAGAAAGGGAGAAACCTGTAAGACAAAGCAAAATGTTAACAAAGTATCAGGAGAAAATTACACTGAAACACAGGGCAATGTAGAAACATTCCTAGTTTATAGGATAAGCCAACCTGATGCAGTAACATTCTAACAAGCATCCTGAGAGGTAGCCTTCGATAAACAAGTGATCATGATTATCCCAGAAAGAGCATTCCAATACATAAGACACTAGGCATTATGCAATAAATGAAAAGTTAAGACTTCCCACAAGGTTCTAAGTTTTATCCCCAAACTCCTCCCATACCATCTAAAATTTAAGTGCTTTGTCTCATGTTCCCAGAAACAATGAAGTCCTGGATTTCCCCCTCCCCCACAAGCTGGATGATGCTAACCAAACTAGATTTATGCAAACACAAAAAATGGAACACATACTAAAAAGTAGTTTGATCCACCACTCAGCCTTGTTTGGAATGTGTGAGGGAATTTTCTTTACCTGAATCACTCTGAAAGCACATTTCTTGCCTTTATAGGATCCTAACAGGGTCAAAGAGCTCCACAATTTGACAAGACCACTGTAGAAAAATCAAGAAAGCATAAAGAAAGATGTGTCCCTGCAACATTTCCCTAGTACTTTTATTTGTGACTGTCCAAAAAAGCTAATTTAAATGCGAAAACTTTAAAGCATAATATATCATAGGCAGAGGCTAAAATGAACCTCAATTAGGAATGTTTCTAAAATATATATTTGAGTCTGCAACCGTGACCATCAGTTGGGAAACACTACGGCTATACGCAAATCACAAGGCACAAGCTCCTGCTAGACGAATGTTCATGTTCTCCTCAGTTTAAACTTCCAAAAGCTGCTAAGTTAACAATAATAAAGCTCTTCTTATTCTCAGAAAAGAGCATTTTTGCTCTATTTCCCCAGCCATCCTTCTGCTTCATTATACTAGAAATGTTGTTTGTTGTACCTGCTACATATTCTCAAGATGGCTGACAAGGTCTTCTCTTCATAGGTTAGGATGTCCAAGGGTAAGGCAGCATCCACCTAAGTATGAAATAATGGTGTTAGCAGACTATTATCATCATCAATCTTGAACTCTAATAACTAATCCTGACAATTGCTTTTCTCCTCCAAAAAAGCAGTATTTTATTGAATGATACTGGAGTAACGGGCCTGCTTATTTATAACTCTCCCCTGCCTGGAATGTTCTTCCTGTAATACTTCGCATTGTCAATGCCTCTTCACCCTTTAAGACTTCATTTATATTGTTCCTTACCTGATCCCCAAGATTAAGCTCAATACTTGCTATGCTCTCATACAGGACCCACATGTTTCCTCTTTCATAATACTCAGCATTCCTGCCATTAACTGCTCAAAACAGTTGTCTGTGAAACACAACCAAGACCATTAGTCCATGAGACAGAGGTCATGTGTTTGTTTATAGCTATATCCCTAGGAACCAGGTCTTATACCCAGCAGAGAAGATACAGATTTTTTTCCTTGAACTTTTAAAAAATCATTTTATTTTTTATTGAATTTATTGGGGTGACATTAGTTAATAAACTTATAATACAGGTTTCAGGTGTATAATTCTATAATACACTCTCTGTATATTGTATGTTTACCAACCCAAGTATTTTCTTAAACTTCCGATTTTCAAAAATTAGAGTCACAGGAGATTGCAAAGAAATGTACAGGAAGGTTCCATGCACCCTTCACCCAGCCTCGCCCAATGTTAACATCTTGTATAACTATAGTATGAGAGCAAAACCAGGAAACCGAAATTGCTCAGCCAGAGTTTATACAGATTTTACCAGTTTATACATGCACTCATATGTTTGCTTGTGTGTGTGCATATGCACAGTTCTATGCATTTTACCACAAAGGCAGTCTCACGTGACCACCACAATCAGGAGCTACACCACCACCACAGGCCCTCTCCTTTCACCCCCTTAAAGCCACACCTGAGCATTTATCCTAGAGAAATGAAACCATTGTTCCCCATATCCCTAACCCCAGGCAATCACTAATCTTTCTCCAGATTATATCATTATGTTATTTCAAGAGCATAATACAAATAAAATCACCTAGTATGTTCCACTTGGGACTGGCTTTTTCACTTAGCATAATTCTCTGGAGATTTGGTCAAGATATTGTATCAATTGTTTATTCCTTTTTATTATTGAGTATATTCCATTGTATGATAGTATTATAGTTTAACTGTTCACCCATTGAAGGACATCTGGCTTATTTCTACTTTGGGGTTCCTACTAATAAAGCTGCTATAAACATGCATATACGAGATTTTGTGGGAACATTGGTTTCATTTCTCTCGGATAAATACTCAAGTGTGCAACTGCTGGGTTATATGGTAGGTACATATTTAGTCTGTTTAAGAAACTGCTGGCACACTCTCCCTCCCAGGAGTACACCCATGCATTCTTCCCTTTCAGGTGTATATCTCCTAAATTCTAAGAGTGCCAAGACTTGCAACCAAGAGAGCAATGGGCAGCAGCGGTCTGTCCCAGGCTAACCCTTTGAACCTGTCTCCAAGGCCTCCTTTTCTCTGACTTTCCAGTGAGCCAAAGCAGCTGCCCCATTCTAGGCTCATTTCTTTCCTGTAACATTTCTAGAGAGCCAAAGCAGTCATGCCTAGGCTCTCTTGTTGCTTCTTCTATCCTAGGCCCTTCCTTGTTCCATTGCCCCAGCTTTAATAAAGGTATTCTCAAAATAAAAAAGAAACTGCCAAACTGTGTTCCAAAGTGGCTATACCATTTTACATTCCCACCACCAATGTATGAGTAATTCAGTTTATCCGCATCCTCACCAGCATTTAGTATTATCACTGGTTTTTATTTCAGTCATTCTGATAGGTATGTAGTGATATCTCATTGTGTTTTTTTAAAAATTGCTTTTAGAAACAGAGAAAAGGAGAGAGAGAGGGAGAGTGGAAAGGGGAGAGAGAGAGAAAAACATAGATTTGTTATTCCACTTATTTATGCGTTCATTGGTTGATTCTTGTATGTGCCCTGACCAGGACTCCAATTCGCAATCCTGGCGTATTGTAAAGACACTCTAAACAACTGAGCTACCTGATCAGGGCTTGTTGTGTTTTTATTGTGCATTTCCCTAATGGCTAATGATAAACATCTTTTCACTCATATGCTTCTTTGCCAACTGTATATCCTTTTGAGTGAAATGTCTATTCATGTCTTTTGCCCATTTTCTTAATTGTATTGTTTGGTCTTTTTAAATTTGTAAAATCCTTTGAGTTTTGAGAGTTCTTTTTACACTTTAGAAATTAGTCCTTTGTCAGGTACATGGTTTGCAAATATTTTCTCTCAGTCTATAATTTGTCTTTCCATCCTCTTAACTGGGTCTTTTGTGGAATAAAAGTTTTTAACTTTGACAAGATGCTTAGCAGATTTTGATTTCATAGAATATGAATCAAGAAATAACTTCCTGGCCCTTGCCATGTGGCTCCGATGGTTGAGCATCATCGCATGCAACAAAAGGTTGCCAGTTCAATTCCATCAGGGCACATGTCAGGGTTCCAGGCTCGATGCCCGGTGGGGGGCATGCAGGAGGCAGCCAATTGATGTTTTTCTCACACTGATATTTCTTTCTCTCTCCCTCTCCTTTCCCCTTTCTCTAAAATAAATAAAAACATAAAATAAAAGAATTAAAAGAAATTCCTGAAAATCATCTTAGTTCTCTCTCAAAACTACCTGTTTCAAGTGAATGCTAAAACAAGACTGTGCAAAGTGCTGGTCTGTGATAAGATATGAGCTACATCAGAAAGTGCATCAGCATTATCAGTAAGCACGCTGTTTAGTTCAACTCAGTCTTCTTCATAAGGAGGCTTTCTCAGTAAAGGAAGTGATGTGCTGATTTATATTCTATTGTGAGCCACAAAGCTTCAAAATGGGCAAAAGGACAGTTTGTAGGTTGTCAGTCTTGAGCACACTTTGAGTAGCACTGCACTAAAATCAGTCTGCTTCTGCCTGGCCAGTGTGGCTCCATGGTTGAGCCATGCACCAAGAGGTCACCAGTTTGATTCCAGGTCAGGGCACATGCCCAGGTTGTGAGCCAAACCCCTCTCCCTTCCTCTCTCTCTTAAAATCGATAAAGTAAAATATATATATTATTTTTAAAAATCTACTTCTGAAATTTCAAATATGGTTTTAAAGTTGTTTTTTTTTTAATTAATTAATTTAGTGAGAGAGCCAGACAGACAGAAACATCAATTTGTTTTTCCACTTATTGATGCATTCATTGATTGACTCCTGCATGTGACCCAACCAGGGATCAAACCCCAAACCTTGGTGTATGGGGATGACGCTCCAACCAACTAAGCTACCTAGCCAGGGCCTTAAAAATTTTGTTTTGGTCTTTTATTTATTTATTTTTGGTTTCAAAGTTTTAAAACGTTTGAAAAAGTGTTCTTTCAGTATTTATTACAAAGATCTTAGGAGTGTTCAATCTAGCAGGTGATTCCATACCTCCCCAAACAGGTCCTTCAGGGCTGAAATGAGCAGCTGTTTGAACTGTGCAACACTCAGTCCAAACCCATGATCTTGAAATTCTCTATAAAAAACATTGAAAAAAAAAAATACATTGTATTAAATTTCATGCTTCGGATTCATACAAAAATAATAAAAAATAGAACTTAGGAGACAGAACTTACAGGCAGACTTTCATGTAGTGGTACTCGGAGGGATTTTTGTAAACTATTCTTTCATATGTGGCAGCTGGGGCCGGCATCTTTTCCAGTGCTGATTACACCTACATTAAGAGTAGAGAGCCCTGGCCGGTTTGGTTCAGCGGTTAGAGCGTCGGCCTGCGGTCCTGAGAGACCCGGGTTCGGTTCCCGCTAAGGGCGCGTACCTCGGTTGCAGTTTGTCCCCGGCCCTGGTTGGTCGTGCGGGTGGCAGCCACTCGATGTGTTCCTTTCACATCGATGTTTCTCTCTCTCTCTCTGTTCCTCTCTCTCCCTCCCACTCTACCTGAACAAAAAAATGGAAAAATGTCCTCGGGTGAGGATAAAAAAAAAAAAAAAAAAAAAAAAAAAAAAAAAAAAGAGTAGAGAGGGCTTGAAGTTCGCGAGGTACATGCTGTTTTTCACTTTTTAAATGAGAATTTGACCTATTTGAATTTTTAAAAGAACTCCTAAGAACATTAACTCATCCAATTTTGATCAAACTAAGGTTACTTAGGCAGACACAAAGAAGTTTCTATATCTTATAATATGCCAGATACTGTCTTATTTAATTCTAATATAATCCCACCTAATATTTTTCCCTCCTGAGTACCCAGCTCTGTGCTAAATGCTTCACATGTCTTAGGTCGTAAATTCAAAATGATCCTATGAGGTAAAAGCTATTATTATTATTCCCATTTTTGAGAAGAGGACATCAAGGTTTGGCAAAAATAGGTAACAACTGCCCAAGGGCATACAGAGATTCTAACCACTTCTGAGTGCCATCAAGACCACTCTGGTGTGCCTCATAATTAAAAAAAACAAACAAAAAGAAGTAAAATCTGGTATCTGCAGGCACTCTTCTTGTTTAGTCAGTCAATGCAGAATATGAACAGGAGGAAGAGAGGAAGTAGGTAGTTCTGCTGTCCCCTCCCATGCTGGATGTGCAAATCCTCTCAGTCTGGAGGCTAGGTCGGCGCCGGTCTATTTGACAGGCCCATATTTAAATGAGCTTAAACAGCAAGGGGTTGAGAAGAGGAATTCCTGGAATGGGTACCCAATGCGATTTCTCACAGATCTGAAACTCTCAAGAATTCAAAACATGCTGATGTCCATGTACAGAATTCCTGTCCTTGGCTCCACTCCTCCCTCACTCTCCCTCTGGATAGCTCCTACTCATCCTTCAAATTTTAGCTTAGAGTTCACCTCTTCCCGGAGTTTCACCTCTTCAGGGAGGCCTTCTCTGACACCCTGTTCAAGTTAGGTTCCCTTGTTATGCAATCTCTTAACACTGTGCATTTAATACCTGGTTCCCCTACTAAAGGGACCAGGAAACTGAGGCCCAACCAAAGAAAGGGATTTATTGAAAGTCACAAAGCTATAGACCAGCATTATCCAAAACCTCTGTAGGTCCCGCTCAGTTCCAACCACCAGAGAAAATTAGTCAGGGTCAAGGAGCTACATCCAATTACCCATTTGACAAACATAAATATTTACTGTGTCCAGCACAGAGTAGGTATACAACACTTACTTAATACATGACTGGATGAACGATGCAAGTGTTAGGCCTCTATGTTCAAGAGTATCTTTGGTGTCAGGACTGCAGCAATGGTTATCTGGTGCTTCTTTCCCAATCACTACTCTCCCCTGACTAGAAAGGCAGGAACGCCCGGCCAGTATGGCTCAGTGGTTGAGCATCGACCCATGCACAAAGAGGTCACCGATTTGATTCCCAGTCAGGGCACATGCCCAGGTTGTGGACCAAATCCCCAGTGGGGGGCATGCAGGAGGCAGCCAGTCGATGTTCTCTCTCATCGATGTTCCTATCTCTCTCTTCCTCTCCCTTCCTTTCTCTCTAAAATCAATAAAAGAAAAAAAAAATTTTTTTTAAAGGGCAGGGAGAACAGAACCCTCAATTATTTAATTCACCGACTGGCACATGATAGGTGTTTTTAGGCATTCCTGACTGCCTGGATCAAGCTGGCTGCCTGAAGTAGAGGAACCAAACTGGGCCTGGGGCTTAGGGAGTATTCTGGAAATGAGTAGTGGTGATGATAGTTGTGAGGGTACTTAACGCCAATTAATGGTACAATAAAAAAAAAAAAAAAAAGCAGGACTTAAGAAGCAAGCATTGCCCTGGCCGGTTTGGCTCAGCGGTTAGAGCCTTGGCCCAAGGACCAGAGTCCTGGGTTTGGTTCCCACTAAGGACACATACCTCAGTTGCAGTTTGTCCCCAGCCCTGGTTGGGGTGGTGTGTGTGGCAACCCCTCGATGTGTCTCTCACATGGATGTTTCTCTCTCTCTCTTTCCCCCTCTCTCCCTCCCGCTCTAGCTGAAGATAAAATGTAAAAATATCCTCGGGTGAGGATAAAAAAAAATTATTAAAAAAAGAAGCAAGTGTTGAGCAGTCACCTCTGGCTGAACAGGCGGGAGCCTCCGGGTCATTGAAAATACTGCCCTCTAAAGGCTGTCCTGAGGTTTAAAAGGTCGATTCCTGGGAAACCCATATTCACCAGGCTAACAAAACTGTGAGCATTTCTGCAGTCATTGTCTTCATCACCTCTGAAGTTAGCCATCTCATTGCCTGCAAGGATGCTCTTTAACTCTTCTGTTAGTAATAGCCCTCCCTCCCCAAACTAGCCTCTACTGCAGCCAGAGTGAACTTTTAAACCTATTCAAGCCATGCCATTCCTCTGCTCAAAACCTTGCAACGGTTACCATGTCACTCAGTAAGTCAAAGTCCCCCATCTCCTGTCATTTCCCCTGCTCAACTCCTGCCACCGCACAGGCCTGTTAGCTCTTCACACACCAGTTCCCTCCCGGCTCTGGGCCTCGCTCCTAGCGTTTCCACGTGCGGGCATACTCTTCCTCCCGGTGGCCACGCGGCTCACTCCCTCGCCTCCTGATGGCTTTGCTCAAATCTCACCCCTCGACTTGGTCCAGTGACCATCTAGTACGGCAGCTCCCCAGGCCCGGGGCACCCGCTCCACTCTACTCACAGCACCGCCCACGTCGAGCATAACTACGTAATTCATTCAACTGTGTTCCCCCACCCCGCCCACCGAATGTGCACTCCACAGGACAGGATCTGCCCTGTTCGCCGCTTCCTAAGAACCTAAAACAGGGCCTCACTCAATGTTTAGTGTCTGAACTAAATCCGTGACTTCTTAAAAAGCACTTCTCTTCGACAAACAGCTGTGTATTCAGTGCCAGCCTGACGCGCGGCGCATGCGCCCTGCACACGTGGTCCCGCGCAGTCCCGCAGCCCCCGCCGCTTACCCCGGGGAGGTTCGCGGCGGGGCCTCGCCCACCGCCCGGCGCGCGTCCTCGGCCGAAGCCGAGAGGTGCCCGGTTCGCCGCGCGCCGCCCGCCGTCGCTCCCGCCTTGCGCAGGCGGCCTGCGTCGCACGTCCTGCGTCACCCGCGCGGCCGACCGAGCCCGCTCCCGGAAAGCCGGCGCTCTGCCGGGGGCTTCCGCTACCCGCTCTCCGCCCGCCCGGCCGGGCGCCTCCCTGACTCCTGGTCACAGCAGGATCCGCCCAAGGCCTGCCGCGCTCTGCAGAGGCCGGAGCCTGGGCCCAAGAAACTCCGGGGATGTTTATTTTTGGCTTTCGTCGGCCCACCCCCGCCCCGGATGTGACGGCAAGGAGCGGATGTGACGTCACTGCGCAGAGGCCTGAGGACCGAGGCGTGCACCCTGATCGGGATGAGACCCGCCGAGTGCCCTCTGGTGCCCACTTCGGAGAACGCCGCGCGTGCAGATGCCTGCGTCGGGTACGGGACTCGAGGCATGTTTATTCGGGCTTCGGAGTCATTCGTTTGTCCATGCACGCATTCATTGAACGCATGTATTGCTAGCAGCTCTTCTCCGAGCATCTCCTGTGTCCAGCGCTCCCCAAGGTCAGGACTCGCTGTTGGTGCCTCTGCGGCTCTCAGCACATTGTCTGTGCACTTACTCATTAGCTACTTGCTGAGCCCCTGTTATGTGCTGGGTACTGGGGACACGGTGAAAATCAAGAAGATACGGCTGCTGTTCTCAGGAAACATAGTGCTTGTATTTAAAAGTAACAGCTAATATTTATCAAGTGTAAGTTGATTCAGTTGCAGGCACTATGCAGAAAAACTTTACACATGTCATCTCATGGAACTCTCACACAATCCTAAGGTAGTTATCATTGTGACCAAACCCATTTTACAGAGGTGGAAACTGAGGCGGGAGAGGCTGTTACCTGCCCAAAATCACACAGTTATAAGTGGTGGAGCAGGCCATCAGAGATGGTGCCCTCCACACTGCACCTTATCATCATCAATTGTGTGGTAAGAGCCAGGGTGGACATGGGAAGAGGCTGGGGCTGCCAAATCTTGAGTGTAAACCCTCTGAGGATGGGACCTTGTCTGTGTTGGCTTACCACTGCATTCCATTGCTGGGCACTCCACGTATTTATTGAAAGCAGTGGTTTATAAATGAGTATGCTGATTTTGCCTGGGTTGGGTGCAGAGGGTTGCCTCGCACAGCTGAGCTTGAGCCAGGGGGCACCTTCTGTCTCATTTCCTTTCTCAAAATCCCATTGTCTGCTATTTCCTGAAGCTTTAGCCCTTGGCTGTGGCCATGTTCTCCAGTCCTGCGACTTCTGCTTCCCTTCCTTCACCTCTCAGAGGAGAAAGGACTTGTTCCAAACTCAAGAAAGGTAGAGGAAATCATCACAGACTCAGAGACACTGGCATTTTTCTCAAAAGAGCTTGGGCTTCAGAAGCTGCCAAAATTCACTTCAAATCCATCTTTGCCACTTATTCAGCTTCCTCATCTGCCACACAAAGAGATTAGTATCATCTCCTTCACACATGTGATGAAAAAATAGTTGTAAAGTATCTGGCACCCAGGGAAACACTCTGGAATGGGACAGAGTTCCCTAAACCAGCTGCCTGGCAAACCCATCCTGCCAGGCTGAAACCGAGAAAACCCAGAGTAATCATGTATTTTGTATTTCAAAGAATTGGATAATTTCCACTGCCTTGCAACAAACCCTGAAAATGAAGGGCCTTCCAAACTGCCTGAATTCTCTCAGTGCTTTCAGAGTTTGGGATAAAAGGGACACCTTTGAAGGATAAAAACAATAGTTGGTTGACTTAGGCTTATGGCATACTTTTCAAATGGTATAAAGGGATAAGCAATGAAGAGTAAGTCTCCCACACCTTCTCCTTGAGCAACCACTGGTATGAGTTCCTTAAGTGTCCTCCAGAAATGTGGTAAGGGGGCTGTCCCTTCTTAAAAGTATATCTTAATATTACTCCAAATAAAAATATATAACGCTCTCAGTCTTGATGAAAATTGTCCAGCATTACATTGGGTGGAGTCAGTTGGCTCAAGAGGGCCCATTCCAGACACTATATCTGACATTTCAGAGCAACATTTTGGGGCAGATCTGCTAGTATTTCACATTCCTGGAAGCTATGGCAGCCAAGAAAGTTGAGTTCACACTTCCTCCCCCTCTGCTGTCCGTCCAGCTCCCCTCCCTGTCTTATGAACTGGTGCCAAATGGATTTTGCTAAAGTTGAGGAGCATTCACAACTTGGAGGGAAAAAAGGCAAGAGAGAGGCCCAAGGAGGATGACAGTCCCTAACATTCACAACCACAATTCTTCATGGAAATCGTATCCACTTATGTCAGCAGATTGTGATGACAGGACAAAGGAAATGAAAATGACCAGAAGTTAAAAGCTTGTGCAGCTGTTTCCACTTGCCATCATCTGTTCTGGGATGTCACTGTTATGATTGCCTTTCCCAGATGAGGAAAAAGTAGCTCAAAGAGGATAAGTCATTGTCTAAGGTGATGAGAGGCCCCAGAACCTAAAATGCTGGAGCCACAGAACCAGCTCAGAAATGGTCCTATCCTGCTTAGTGCAATACTGCCTTGCTTTTCAGAGACAACAGGCCAAAATCACAAGTCATGCAGTTAGTTGTGCCATGCACAGAGGAGAGAACTTTGACCTCCAGCTGCACCTGGAACCAAAGCCCCTCCACCACACACACACACACTCACGCTCACACTCACGGAACCAAAGGACCTGGACATAAGCGGAACTTGAACACCAGAACACCGGAATCCAAGTGGGGGGCATGCAGGAGACAGCCAATTGATGTTCTCGCTCATATTTCTGTCTCCCTTTCTCTCTTTTTAAAATCAATAAAGGGGAAAAAATTAAAAAAAAAAAAAGAAGCCAAGGGTTTGTTGTCCAGGACAATCCAGTGTTGATGCCCCTTTACCATAAATGGCCAAGTTCCAAGTTTCTCCAGTTAAAACTTGCCCGCCAGTACTTCCCCTCTAACCCCTTAGAAACTCCTAACTTAGTCTAGTGAGCAAGATGGATTTGAGGCACTATTAGGTCTCCCATCTTCTTAATCAACAAACCTTTCCTTATTCTGAATCCTGACATCTTCAGTTTTGGCCTTTCGAAGCACTGGGCACATGAACTTTGGTCTGGTAAGACTTTGACGTAACCTTGAGCATTATTACCAAAACAGGAAGTTTTGAAAAGCAGCACTGCTTCTCAATCCCTAGAAGCCAAGCTGAGACAGGGATCTTTGTGGGAGTGATTCTGGGGGGAAAGCTCTCATGAAGGAGGAGGGAAGCAGGATGGGGCAAGGGGAGAAGTTAAACAAAGGTGTGGGTTCAGCTGAAGTCTAGCTTCAGCCTGATCCCATGGGAGCCTTGGGGCATAAACAATAGGAGAAAACGTCCAGCCTTGTAGGTAAGGGGGCCAAGC